AACATACCTATGGATATTATATTATATTCCTGACAATAGATCTTCCTAAATGTTACACACTGAAGCTTTAAAATCACAAATTGTTGTGTTTTACATTTATGTTTTTGTATGGATTGAACAACAATACACAGCATGTTTACTGAAGGTTTTACAAAATAGCAATCAAAATGATATAGCCTGGGTAAAAATTATTTCCCTGCATAAGCAAAACATATTATATATTTCTACTTTGAGAAGAAATAAAAGCTCCTTATAACTGCAAATTCTTAACAGGTGTCCAAGTCAAGAATAAGCTTTGTGAGGTCCTTGAATTCTACTTCCCAAAATAACTGCCATACATATACTTAACAACCCCCTGAAAGCAGCCTAGCCCCCCTGACCTTCCCCTCCCTTTGGCGTTATCTTGCCCCAAACACGGCCCCTTTAACATTTACAATTAGTCACAAACTGTTCTCTGCAGACTTGCTACAAGCCTGGTGCATATAGTGAATGCAGAGGCATGATGGGAGCTAGAGGCCACGTTGTGAGGTGTAGAAAAGTGAAAAATATAGTCTCCCTCTGCTCCGGTTTCCTCACTCTGCTCCCCACAGAGCTGTCACCCAATACACTGTTAAGGCCACGCATACATTCACACAACACAAACACAAACACATACATATATACGTCTACATCTGTGAACGCTGTGTGTGTGTGTGTGTGGGGAGTCTAAATGACCCATGTGCTAATCAGACAGCCTAATGCAAACAGCACACTCAAGCAGAAGTGCCCGAGTCACCTCTGCACTTTGTCAGAGCACAGTTAGTGATGGCTGCACACACACATAAACACACACTGAGTGTGCCTGCTAGATAAGTTAGCTGCAGTCAAAAAGGGCTGCAGCTACAAGAGGCCGTGAAAGCCCGCAGTAGCCTCTCTGTTGGATAGACGGCTGAAGTCCTGACATCGCATCCAGGGTAGCTAGTGTTCCGCTTGCTTCTCGAAAGCAAATTCTACCATAACAGCTTTAAAATCAAGCAAGGTAACTGCAGTGTCCAGTAGAAAGAGAAAGATTGAAGGACAGGGTGGTATATGGGAAGGTCTGTTAGAGACAAGGGATAAACAATGTTCAAATGTTTAACAAAACAGGTTCGATATCCAGAATCTGACTGATTTATAAAGTCATGATGTTACACACACTGATTCAGCAGGTGCTGGTTTGTCTGCCAGGAAAATCAAACACAAGGAAGAAGGCTCCCCTATAGTCAAGATGGCGATAAAGATAAAAAAACAAAACAGGCATTCATTAATCTGGTATTGTTATTTGTTAACTTTAGTGGATCATAATGGGTATGAAATTAATCTGCAGATGCACTGACCAAACGTTTCTATGGATGTCAGTTTTTGAGCTGAAATGTGGCCTACAACCACAGGTGGGAAGTACAAATACTTTGTTACTGTACTTAAGTAGTTTTTCAGGTATATATACATAAGTTCTTACTTTTCCTTCCTACATTCCAACACCCCAGATTCCAATATCTGTACCTCTCATGTTTTCAAAACTGCCTTGTTACTTCTGAACAAGACAAAACAGACCAGAGAGGGAGACTCGTTAGTTGGCTTTGAACAGAAACAGCTGGTATATTTTACTTTTATACTTTGAGTACATTTCAGAGCCTGTACTTTTCCCCTTTACTTGAGTAAAGAAGTTGAATCAGTATAGTGTATACTTTTTCCAACTTTGGTCGGTATAAAATAGAGCAGTTAGTAAAGTAGGTTTTTCAAAGATTGTGAGTCAACCTTGAGAGTTCATTGTACATATAGTCATAAATGTGCACAAAAACTATGAGGCTGATTGGTGCAGTAGTATGTTAGATTAGCTGCGGACAGATCCACACACAGACACACATGCCTAAATGCTTACGCCTAGCGAAGATAATATACAGTGTTATTGGCTAACATAACCTCTGTGGACAAACAGAGTGAACCATACCACATAATGTTTGGGCCTTCATTTTTAATAATTTGCATTTTAGCAAATGTCTGAAACCTGTTGCTCTACTTCTAGAACAGAACCAGAAGTTTTTTGGTTTTACTTCAGCTATGAAGTATCACTATGAAGCTAGGAAGTGAAGGCCGGGACTGAGAAGACCATAACAGGAAGTGTATGTAGCGGCAGTGCCAGGTCTTAATGTTAATCAGAGTACAGGATCGTGAAAGAGTTTGTCATCCTTTTAAAATAGAATGTTAAAACCACATCAAAAACTCCAGCATCGGGTTACCACCTCACACACACACTCACTCAAACAGAGCGAGTCCCCCAGCTGCTCTGCATATGCATCATAACTATAGGATATCATGGTGTGACCTTGCTAGAAAACACAGAACATCCCTATTAGGATGCAGAGTGGAGTTAGTTCAGCTACAGGCAGCAGCAATATCATTGGTCGAGTAAAGCCTCAGTGGATGGACCTATAGAATAAAACCTGATCTGACCTATGCAATTTGCATACCGTTTTCCCATCAATGACTGATTACTGAGTCACATCCACACACAAGTCATACACACCAACGTGGAAACAGTGATTTTTATCCGGTAATAGTGGTATCTCAGATGATACAAATCCACAAATTCAATTGGAAGTTATAGAAAAAAGATGCTACTCATTTGCTCTGACCTATAGCGAGATAAATTCTACATGCAGGGTTTTTAAAAGCTAATTCTAATGTTCTACAGTCAATATGTTTGTCTGCGTTTTTAGGAAAAACTATTAAATTAAAATACAGTATACAGATTTAGTGTTTTTCCACCAGCATTATATTGCTGACAGTGTGGACAATTGATATTGATATTTTACGAATATATTGCGTTAAATATATAAATGAAAAGAAATTATTTAATCTCAATTCATTATTATGAGATCATATTTCATGGCTGGAAGGTGAAAGAGTGGCGACTACAGTGCTGCCATGGAAGTGACATTATAAAACAAAGAGCAACATTATGAAAAATGACATTATAAAAAGTGACATTGTGAAAAGTGACATTATTAATAAAAATGTGTTATTGGGGTAAATGCCATTATGAAATAAAAGAAGCCTTCTAAAATGAAATTAGTTGTTCAAAAGTCCTGAGTCTAAGTCACAAAGTGACTATGCCAAATGCTAATAAAAGGAGTGAAAAGTGACAAAAAAACATCCAGGGTTCACAGTGTTAATGATGTATTACAGTCTGTATGCTGTTATTTTTCATTTTGTTAAACTTACAACATACTCAGAATCAGCTGATCGATGATGCTATTTTTCCAAAAGGGCATTTGGTTGATTAAAAGGTCAGGATTAAGACATTGCTGCTTCCAGAGTTCCTTCCTTCCAGTGGCAGATTTCTGCTACTTTATGAAATTATTGTTTCCTACAGAGGAAAAACTGTATAATTAAGGTAGCAGGACCTTTAGACTGTAGGACATAATGTGAGGACATGAGTTAAAGGCTAATGACAGTCTTTGAAGTATAGTCATTACATTTCTCTCCCTCTGGCAGGCTCTATTGTCAGCTTTGATGTGGTTATAGGTGCAGCCCTTTTTGTTAGGACTGACTGCTACAGTACTGAATCTCTACTCTGCATTATCTCCATGTAGAATGTATATTACAATGATGTTGCCTAAGGGTGGACCGCAGAGAGCTTCGGCTGCACGGCTCCCTGGATTATTTTTACTAAAGACTTTTCCAGTTGTGACTGGGGTCTGCCAGTACTAACCAAATACATTCCTGGAAGTATTCATGAATAATATAAAGTGGGCTATGGGAAAATTGTGTCTGAGTGTGCAGTCCTGCAATTGATTCCGCATGAGACTTTTGAATGACGAGAGCACTTGAACTTTGGAATCCTTATTTTTTAAGAGTGTGCTATATAGCTGACCCCATAGTTAAGGAATAAAATATTCATGAAAGGCCTGTAGTATATACATACATTTATTTTTAGTTCTCCTCACAGTTTTTTTTACAGGTTTGGTTTCTCTTCAGTTTTTATGCTTGTTAAGGCCTCGATACACTTCAACCAAAATGCTTTCTGGATCATATAGAAATGCAAAATTGGGTTCAGGCTCCATCCAGCAATTTTTGTAACACATTTTTGAAACAGACCATCTGACTATTTATATAGTAACCGTCCAGGTTTCAGGTGGTATGAAAGTAAGCAGGGTCTGAACTTATCATGCAACACCAAGAACACTTTCAAGAGAGAGATGTATTTCAACCCGGTCTCACTCCCAAGTCTTCAAATACTGCCGTATGGTCAGTCGCCCTCCACTGCAAAGTATGATGCTGTAGGTTTGTCCACAAGAAAACATATAATTCAAAAGGTGAATTCTTTTCCCCAAACAAATCCCTCAAACTAATACAGGACTGTAACCCAGGAGATCGCTTCTCATGTGCCGTGTGAAACATAAATGAGAAGTAAATAATTTATTTTAAGTAAGATATAATTATGTCAGGTATCTTACATAAATTACTTATCTTTTCCTAATCCTAAATCGTTGTTAGCCCTTACCTAAACTGTGACTGTGTCACAATGTTAACAATGCAAGTTTTAATTTGAAAGTCGGGATGAGCGAATTCACCATTATCTGTATCTGTATCTGTTCAATCAACTAAATTATCTGTACTTAGAATGGGTGGGGCTTAACTCAGATTTAGGTGGTGCTTAAACTGTAAGTAGGTGGGACTGGAACTGGAAATTATTTATTTAGGCCTGAAATTTATATCGGTTGATCAGAAATTGCTATATTTATTGGAACTATTTACAGAAAACCATCAGCATTGAGCTTCAAAACAATGTTTTCTATCACAAAAGTACAAGAACTTTTTAAATAAAAGTAAAAAGACACATTTTACTCGTTTGATACTTACATATTTACATTATTTGTACCAGATACTCGTTTCAGCCAAGTACTCACTCAAACCTATTTGAAAGTGTAATCGGATGTTGCATATTTATTGTTGCTAACATGACAACGGAAAATGACCACAGGGTCATATTTTCATATTTTACCCCACTCTGTGATGGCTGGGTTTAGGCATTTTCAGACAACACTTTGTACAAATTTGTCCTTTTCCAAAAAAAGAACCAAAAAAATCCTAGTCTGATCCTAGTTTGAGCCATAGCTGTCCTCTGACAAAGCAGGATAATGTGCACGCTGAGGTAACAGGCAGTACTCAGAATATAGCAGCAGTGCTCAGAACGACATCCCCTTCAGCACCTGTTGCTGGCCTCGAAACAGCCCGTGCTGGCATTCCTCCGCTAGTAAGCATCACCAGCGGGACTGACTGCTATGCTGTGGAGAATGTACTCAAATGGTTTTTTATTCTATTCAGGGTCAAATCAAACACAGGCTTTGTTGATCTAATAAGGGCAACTGTCACACTTAGATACCTTGAGAAAAGGACTGTAAGTTGCAATTTGAATGTTTGTTCGCTGTTTTTACACTTCTACATGCTGCTGGTGCTGGTTTTAAAGGGAAACCAAAACTCTGAGACTGAAACAATGTCAAGCAGCAATTTCATGTTAGGTGCAACATGATATTGTCAGTGTGTTCTAACATTCTTTTGTTCCCTCTCTCATGCAGAAGCTTGCAGCACGACTACCGAAGACACGGGAGGTGAGGGAAGCTCCCCACAGCTGTCTGTGTCCACCAGGTAAGTCGCTCACCCTCCATCCATTCACCCATTCACATGTTTCTCACTTTCTCTTATATTACTGATTAATTCAACTTCACACAAAGGACACTGCACACTGAAAAGAGGCGAGAAGCTTCATTTGGCCATTTAAACAATTTGGACCATGTCACTACAGGACATTCCTAAAGGTGATCACTACAATGCTGCTTTGACAGTGGGTATTCAACATATAGACATCTCTCTGTCAGCGCCTGCATTTGCTCTGTGGGGATGACTCTCTAGGTGACATTCCGGCTTCCTTGGGGCCTTATTCTTCAACAGTTTGGTGCCCATTTTTTTGTTGGGTGAGCAGATTACCAGGGACCAAAGTGTTTTTCAAACAGTTCAGAAACACTGGGAGTAATTTAATTAGAATAAGCTTTGGGCCCAAAGGGTCAATAGATGGAGCTGCAGTGGATGTGGAGCTCAGTTAAAGCACTTCTAAAGGTCAAGAGAGCTCTTCACCATACATTACCATCATCAGTGTGTTGATCTGTTGTGTTTCGACTTGTTGCGTCGAGAGGGTTTCATTTTAACTTCACAGGAGAGCCATAACAAAAATGACTACTACAAATTGTCCTGACTTTGTTTTTTAATTTAATATTTAATATTAGAACTTCATAAATATATATAATGAACAATGTTTTTACATTTTTTAACCCCAAATTGTTCAGTGTTAGGTCTTTTTTGCTTTTGATTAATAATTCAATTTCAATTCAATTCAATTCAATTTTATTTGTATAGCGCCAATTCATAACAGAAGTTATCTCAAGGACACTTTTCAAAAGTTAGAGCGGGTCTAGACCGAACTTCCTTTTAACATTTAAGAGACTCAACAGTACACCAATGAGCAAGCCTTGGCGACGGGGTGGCAAGGAAAAAACTGCCTTTTAACAGCCAGAAACCTTAGCGGACAGACCCTTTCGGCTCTTAGGTGGGTGGTCATCGTGCCTTGACCAGTTGGGGGGGGAAGATTTTAGAGAGAGGAGGAGACAGAGAGATGGAGAGAGAGAAAGAGAGGAGAAACAGAGGAGGAGAGAACGAGGGAGAGAGACACATGGTAAGCCAACAACAGCAGCAACCAACTACATTATAGCTAATGACTCGATGACGGATCATGAAAAGCCATGATTGACGATGCACAGCAGCAACAATGGGGACAGCGAGCAGCGACAACAGTAACTCGTAGCAATAATAATACTTAATAATAACTAATATGAATACTAAATATCCAGTGGATTTTAGCAATGGTAGTCAAGCGAGGACCATGGCAGGGAGCGGTCCACCAGGTCCATGGAGAACCTGGTGGAGACGTAAAGCACAAGAACTCCGGGGGAGAAGGTGAAGGGTTAGTACCTATACATTAATGGGACATGCATGAGTGCCAGAAAGAGGATGAGAGGAAAGGAGGAGGCAGCTCAGGGTGCACAGATTGGGGAGATCCCCCGATAAGATCTAGGGGGGCCTTATAGCCAGCAATAACTAAAGGGATGGTTAGGACTCACCTGATCCAGGCCCATAACTATAAGCTTATCAAGAGGAACGTCTTAAGCCTACTCTTAAATGTGGGGGATGAGGGTGTCTGCTCCCGAACCACAAACTGGAAGCTTGGTTCCACAGGGGAGAGGAGCTTGGTAACTGAAGGCTCTGGCTCCTGTTCTACTTTTAGAGACTATAGGAACCACAAGTAGCCCAGCATTCAGAGAACGCAGTGTTCTAGAGGGGTAATAGGGTACTATAAGGAGGAGAATTTTAAATTCTATTCTAAATTTAACCGCCCGATAACCGCCCGAAAATTAAATTTTCTAATGCTACATAGTTAACAAAGGCATTTCTTTCTCTTTGGCCACTTGTGTCATATAGTGATCTCTCTCTGTGCTAATCTGGCTGGATCTGGGCCTATTTTTCACTTGTACAATCCAATGAAAGCGAGCTAGTCTGTTTTACTGATGTACAACTATCTGTTGCATTTGGTAGTGAACATGCCAGCTGGTGGCCTCACTCTGCACTTCAGCTCACGCAGACATGATGACAAGCTGAGGTGTATTTGCAGCTCAGCTGACAGCCAGGGTCATTTTGTGTCGTATCAGGTCATAATGCAAGCTGGTGTGATGAGGTGGCATCACTGAGGCTTTCCTGGATAACCAGCCACATCATTGTGTTCTGCTCTCTGAGAACTGGACATAGAGCACGGACTGTAGGACTGCAGCTCAGCAGTGCACCAACAATACTTTACCTCTGAACTCTGAAGTCTTTTTGGTTTCGATCCATTGCCTTTGTCAGACATAATTAAAAATATTTTAGAGAAGAATTCCAGGAGATTTATATAACCAAAATACTCAATAACTGTTTCAGATTTGCCTCCCAAAGCTAAAGCAACTGAGTTGCTGAGACTGGCTGAGAAACTCTCTCAGTGTCTAAAGCCACCTGTTTGTCTGCTGCAGTCATTAAGTCACCAGGTCATCAACGTGTGTGTCTGTGTTTTTATGAGTTGACTCGCCGTGTTCACATCATATGGGATGGATGGTAGAGGTGGAGAAGATTCCCATGTTTGAGAGTTTTCCTGTCTCTGAAGACAGCTGTATGATTGCAGAGTTGGTGGTGTGAGGGTTAAAAATACTGTGCATACACAATTCAACAACGCAATATCATGTAGGGATAACAGCACACATTTGTGACAGACTGTCATGGAAGTCATTCATAGTGTTGAACTTGGTTGTTCATGTGAAATGTGACAGATATAGTTGTGTAACACATGAAAATAGGGAGCTAGAAAGAGAAGTTAAACCATGGATCCTTTTTTACCTCCACACAGCTGACCAATCACGGTGTAAAATGAGTGTGAATATCAGATTGTTGGTTTGGGGAAGTTACATAAATGGTTGGACACAACTAACTGTTTCTTGTGTGTGTGTACTGTGTGTGTGTGTGTCTGCCAGTGATAGCACTCTGAGAACAGGGGGAGTTGCCCGTCACCACACATTAGTGTTAATTGGTCTTGTCAATAGGATGTTAGTGTTTTAAAATGGCGGTAAGTGTCTGTGGGACTGGCTGTGAACGCCTGTTAAGGTGGTTTGCTTGCAGCTTCAGAGGAGATTCTCCAGCCACTGCAGGTGTGGGAGTCTTTCAACTTCGAGCTGCCAGCTGGTCTGGCACTTTTACAGCTTCTTGTGACTTTCTGTCTTCTACAACTGGTCGAACAGGAGTCTGAGAACAGGGTTTTTGTCTTGTTACCTGTCAGCCAAAACTGACAACCACCTCAAAACACTCCTTTTTCAGTTCCTCTGATGTTTTAAGAGGAAACAAATATTAAGTTTAAAGTTAAATCGGGTGTCCATATGACCTTTAAACAGGTTTTGCTTGACATAATCAACTTTCCTGTTCCTACTGGCCCATAAGAAATCCCCTCTTAGTGCAGTTGCAGTGTAAGTGATGGGGGACAAAACTCACAGTCCTCGTTTTCTGTCCAAATACATTTAGTTAATATGAGTCCTCAGCAGTCTGAGTTAGCAGTAGTAAATCAGAATCAGAAATAATTTACTGATCCCGGGGAGGAACTTGTTGCGTTACAGTTGCTTAAAGTGCTCCCAAGACATTAAAGAAATACAAAATAATAATAAGAAGAAGACAACAGGAGCAACTGCAACAGGCACATGCACACCATTTTTAATAAAGTGGACATCTTCCAAAGTTACAATGTTTTTTGTTCATTGTGTTTAGTATATCCCTCCACTTCAGTCCATTATTGGATCCATGTATCGTTTAACCATAATTACTGTATAATGACCGCATACCATAGCAAATGTCTGTCTGACTTGTTGCTGTTGTCAGATCAGCAGACCTCGCCCTGGCCCTTGTGGGACTCATGTACAGATGGCTATAGTGCGCCCTCCCAGTGCCCACCTGGTGCCTGCCAGTCAGCACAGACCGCACGCCATGTTCACATGGCTGCCATGCTTTTGATTATTTACAGTGCCAGGTGACCGAGAGGGCAGACCTCTGACGCCTTGATGAAGACACTGTGGCCTGGAGTGCACGTTGTTTAATCACAGAAATAGATTAAATAGCTCATACGATAAAGAGACTAGATGATTCAAAGTCTGGAAACATGGCTTATGTGTAGTTATTAACTTAGATGGATTTTTACCAACATTGCACATCTTATGATATAAATGGTCAGATGGCATAGTGAGCATGTTTATGCTCCCTATAAGATAAAGCCGTTGCATTTTAATGACCCAATTAAATTGTCTCTATCTATACATACAAGGTGACCTTAAAGGTTTCTGTTAAAGTTAAGAGTAATATATGATCTGTGTAGTTGTCAGAAACATAGCTGTTGTAACTGTAGTTGTTCATGTGTCATGGATGTCTGTGTGACACTTGAAGGACACTGTATTATTCTGAGCTTGACATGTTTCTGAGCAGCCTGTGAAAAATGAACTTTGTAAGTTGCTAAAAGTGGAGCAGCAGAATGGGAGACACTGCAGGCCTCAAAGGTGCCACCGAGTCTGTTGTCTTTCAAATGTTTATCGTGACCATGAAACAAAGCAATAGGCCTAAAAATATGTTTAACATACGTGTTGCTTTAAGTGGATGGAGATGAATCACCAGACACATTGCTTACGGCTGAGTGGGCTTCATATCAACAGTCTGGGTATGTTGTGTATTCGCAATCACCACATGGCCCTATTAGGGTCGGACCAAGATGGGGTTTTGAGACAATGGAGCAAAGCCTATATGAGCTGCTTCATGCAGACAATTGGAGCGCTCTGACAGAGTGGACACATCGTATTCCATTCTGAACATCACACATCCAACACACTCTTCACTATAAGATGACAGTGCTCATCTCGCAGTCATCACTACTGCTCTTCCCCTAGAGCACTTCAATATTTGTTCACTTATGATGGTTATTCCACATATCCTAGTTTCCTTCAGAGCTTTAGTGGTCTTCATCTTTAAATATTGAACTTTAA